AATAAACACACCACCACCCTTTCAACCGTGGCCACAGAACCTGGAATAAGGGTGGATCTACAGAATGCTCGTATGGTAAGACTATCACAACGTACGGACCAACTAAGAATTATGGAGACCTTAGAGATTTATAAAGCAGGATTAAACAACACATGTATTAACTCCAAAGACGCAGTTAATATCTCTAAAGCATGAAAATTTTGCTATGAAGAAACACCCCACACATAATTGAGTGTAGTGTCGTTTATTACAAGCGCAATTTACGCAAGATTTAACGTCATCGAGGAAAGAACGTGGTGTTCTTTTTTTTTTATATGAACGTTGACATTCTAGGATTTGAATCGCATTTAATCCATTCCTGTTCGATTTTGCAAAGTTTGAATTTATAAAAACGGTAGCCTGAAGAAGACCCAGGTAGGGTCGAAAACGTTTGCCAAAAAGAGTAATACTGGGGAGTTAAAGGTTTATATTCAAGTAGAGAGAATTATATTTCCTCCTGTGGTAGATAGGAAGTTCATTTGACACTCTTATGTTTTCAGTGCTTTTCTTAATTTGTTTTTTATATGTTTGGTTGTATATATATTGTTTTTTTGTTGATTCTTAACAATTTCTCCCTGCAATTTTTCTTTCTCAACATCTTTTGAATGCCCTGCCCCCTACATTGTCTATCCATTAGTTCAAAATTTCCCAAATGAAAATTTTTTAACCAAATTTGCATATTCAAAGCTTAGAAGCATCTTCCCCATACATATTATGAACCTTTTTAACTGTTTATATGGCATTATATCCTTTCCAAAATTTATAAAGAGTAGCATGATAAATATGCTCTCTATCTGAAGACATTTTGACTCAATTTTATTCAAACAAAATATGAAGTAAAAAGTTTAAAATAAGCATCTAAACAAAGAATACAATCTCTCATTAGCAATAATGTGTTAAATTTCATGACTGTTACAAGTAAATCACACAACTATGTTTAAGTAATGACAGCTGTTAAAAATAAACAAAACTTTCTGTTCAACTCAATATAACTTTTACTCACTGAGCTGCAATTTAGAAAACTTTTAGACCTATAAATTTCTATTGTCATTCATCCGTCTGTCTGTCTTTCCTTAATCTCAAGAACAGAATTAGACAGCTGAAAGACGAGATCAGATATGGAAGCCTTAGGTGCAGAAGAGTTGATTAACTATATGTGAACTTCCAGTTTGCATTGGAAGTCATGTTGTTTCAATTCAAAAATTTTCCCCCAAAAGATGTTACATAGATGGCATGACTGTATTGTTAAAGGAAAAGTATGATGTATGTGAGCAAGCCACTACTAATTTGAGGTGGAGAGCATTTATTTTAAATTAAATCAATTAAAAATATGATAAAAAATTGCAGCTTGACACTGTGACCATGTCACAATAAATTGTTCATTAAATGTGGATCCAAAATGGGTGTGGAAGCAACAAAGTAAGATTGTAGTATCAACAATTAAAATTAAGAAGGAACTTATTGTGTAACATAAAAGTGGTACACTTGTGGCAGCCATGTTTAACATGCCAAAGTTGGCAGTCTGCAATCACTAAATGCAATTTTCATTTTATTATATATTATTTACATGTTTTATTTATTATTTTCAAGTTTTAATTTATTATTAGAGCATATAATTGTCTTCTTTTTGCATTAAATAATGTGTATTCGCAGTTTTAAGTTTATCAACGTGAATATTGTTTGGGGTTGAGGAATGAATTAATTTGCTTTCCATTAAAACTAAATCAGAGCTGTCTTGCAAATATAAACAAATTTACATAAAAATAACCTTGAAGACAGCAAGATTTCACTTTCCATTATTTCTTATGGAAAATATTACTTTGGTTTTTGAACAATTTGGAATTCAGATGATCTGGAACAAATTAAGTTCAAAGTATGAGGCATTACTCTATGTGGTTATTAACATAATTTCTAAGTCTGAAAGCTTTCCAAACAAATTTTAATGAATCATCATCAATTATTCCTGCTCTCTTTCCAATTAATGGTGATTTATTGACCTTAGTTTGGAAAGCTATCAAACTCACAGATTATGTTAATTAATAACAACATATTCTTTTTATCATAGAAACAGTTAAAATCTTCAAGCAATAAAGTTATAACTCATTGACTTTCTATTCTGAAAACTTAGTATAGTACTGTTTAAGAAGTTCCAGCCTGTGAAGTCCAATTTCTCTGCTCCTGGCATTTACACCATAAGATGTCTGTTAAAATTTTCTGCAAAATAAGTTTTCCTATGTAAGAAACCCCAAAATATCAATCCTATCAACAATAGTTTACCCACTTAAGAAGTTTATGTTAGAAACAAATCATAATCTTTTTCCTTAACATAACTTTATCACTTATAAAAAAATAGTGATGTTTTAGTAAAGTAACTCCAGATGTTCATGATATTGTATATCAAACACTTGCACATCCATTGTGGTCATTAAATTAACTAGGGTGTTATTGTTTCAACCACACTCCCTAATTGGTGATGTCCATTAACTATTAACATGTCATATTGACACTAGTCACTTCATCACCTGCTGTAGTCAGTGCATCTTACTACTCTACTATGTTACATTATGCTATGTTCTAGTACTTTGATATTGAAATAAAATTAATTATACAGATAATTTTTTTTTTTTTTACAGTTCCTGCATAAGAAATTTTTTAGAGTGGTCCTTCAAAAACTTCTTAACAGGGTTCCACTGTAGTACTTTTAAGTTGTTGAATTTTCAATCGTTTTTGGATGCCTTAAACAATTTTTAACAAAATTTTATTTCTGTTTCTTTTATAACTAACTATTCAATTTATGTGCTATTTTATTTACTTTTATAAATTCATCAACTACAATTTTTTCATGTATCATTTCTTAATAAACTAATCTACAATAATTGGTCTATTTTATTTTGTTGCTTAAGTTCAAATTTAAAATAATTTGCTATTCTAAAAAACTTAACCCTAATGGTATCAAGTAATAAAGCTCAATAAAAGTATTCTGCATATAATTCTTATCAATGATTTTCTTTACTAATATCACACTAGAAATTGTGTAATTTTGGGTGAGATCAATGCTAATACTATTAGATTAAATCTTAGATTTTTTGCTTAAATTTCATCTAAAATTCATTCCTTAATTAATTAAACTTAGCTTCTGATATTACACTTTGTTAAAACCACATAAATAAATAATAAAATTTCAAATATTTTTTGTATAATTAAAAGAATGTATTTATCATCTTATTTTTTTCATAAACAATGATGTTGAAAGACAGATATCTATTTCTCATTATATCCTCAAATATAAAATAAATATTTTATATTTAGTTTAATTATCTCTATCAAGTTTAATATTAAATCTTTTCAATCACACATATTTTGAAATTAAAAAATAATAATAATTGAATTAAATTTATTTAAGAATTTATAAAAATACCTGAGATAAACTGCTTTTCCTGTTGGCATCATCATCATGCATATATAAAGAAATTTCTCTTTTACTTCTGTCAATATTACATTGTGAATCGGCAGCATTACACTTATTTTCAAGTGTTTCTTCTTGTGAAGAACTTTCTTGATAATTTTGAATATCTTGCTCAAAACTTTCATTACTTATTTTTTGATCTGAAAATGTTTCAGGTGAAGATATAGATGAAACACAACCACTATCATCTGAATTTGTAACATTGGAAGATGGATTTTGAACAGTTGTATCAAGTTTATTAGTCTGATTAATTTTCTTATGCTTGATGTGCAATCTTCTTCTATAGCTATTTCTAGAAGAATCAATCCCAATTGCCTTCATATGTAACTATAAAAAAGAATGGATTTAAGAAAACATATTAAACACACAGATTNACTTTGTTTTCTACACTGTTTGATGTGAATAATAAAATTATTATTGGAAGTAAGGTTATTTCTTGGGGGGTTGTGAAGGCAATTTAGAATTTGGTTTTAATGAATTCTGGTAAAATTTTTGTTCACGTTATCATGTAAAAATTAATGTTGTGACAATTACATTTTGTCGGGGCAATAGCAAACTTAGTCTTAATGTGAGAATTCAACTTTATTGCTGTTTGTTTTAAGGCAAATCAACTATAAATATAAAACTAGAATTAGTATCTTCTTAGTTATTTTCTTTTAAAAAGTGGTTCTTATGTATAATAAATAGTAATTCTCTTACTATAGATTCTTTAATTGTAATTTATATAGAAAATAACTATTATACAACTACAGTAGGATCTCGAAAACTCGGCTCTCGATAACCCGGCACTCCGGATAACTCCGCCACACCCTGGCAGGGCAAAAAAATCAATTAATTTTCATTATAGACAGCTTTATAAAAGTATAAAAGCTCTCATAAAGTATTTTTCTGAGGTCTGTCTTATCAGGTAAATTACTGTACACAGTGTATTCATTAATTTTCATTTTCATGTAGTAAAGGCTCTATGCCTTCATAAAGGACGTA